GTGGCTATTAGTTATGTTGTTGCTCTTTTAAGGAGCCTTGAGGGCCTTGACTATAGTTACGCATTCCTGTGTATGCATGGGAGTATGAACAGCACTCCACACCAATTACAGGGATTGGGACTTGGGAGGTGAAGGTGCATGGCTGCAGGCGTTAGCTGTTGGCACATGCAATGAGGCAGGTTAGCGACAGGAGGTAGGGCCAGATCCAAGACCATGAGTAGCTATACGGGCCTGGGCTGTCAGATGTGATGGCAGGGGCTAGCTATGGGTACACACACCACATGCAGTGATGGAGGCTGGTGACAGGAGTTAGAGCGCAAGGCTGTAGGAAACAGCTCTGAGTGCATGCACAGCAGAGGAGGCTGTGACAGGTGTCAGGCTATATCCAGGAGTAGAATAAGCAGCTATTAGGCTGGACATTTGACATGAGCTCATGTGTCTACAGGGGCTAGCTGCAGACATGTGCATGGTGATGAGGGTTTGTTGAAGAGACTTAAGCTGATGTTCAGTACTTGCATGGCCACAGCAAGGCCATACCTGCTTGCCAGTCCAGATCCTAGGTTTTGGGCTCCACAGTAACATGGCTGGATGGAGTAGTATAGAGAGACTCAGGCAGCCAATGTCCACAAAAATAAAAACCTGTAAGGTTCTAATTGGCAAAAGCTGCAGGAGGTCCACAGTGAGTCCAGGCTGTGGATTTCTTAGTGTCAAACCTGCTAGGATCCTCGATGGAGCAGTCACCCGAGTCTGTGATGAGGTCCTGTGATGAATGATGAAGGAATCTGCAGCATCTGGAAAGGCTGTTGAGGTCCTCAGTGGTGGAAGCTGCTGGGGTCCTTTACAGAGCAGGCCATGCCCTCCCCCACTGCATGGCTGATACCTGTGGCCTCAGGCCTTCTCGTTCCTACCCATTTCTAGCGTCTCAGCAGTGCTGGTCTGTGGGTGGGGTAAAACTGAAGTGGGTCTTCTGTGCAGTGCTCTGAAAGGGTGGGAAAGCTGGCCACTATCTTGGGCCAGGGAGTTCGCTCTTGGCATTGAGCAACACTTCTCTGGGAGATAGGATAATACAGGCAAAATGAAACAGTTCTTCCTAAGCGCTCCCCACCCCCTTTTTTTTTTCTCCACTATATTGCAAAGTTTCTTAAGAGGACTCCTGAACTCTCCCAGAGCTATTTTCATCTGTGCATAGCTGTCTACTTGATGTTCTCTGCGGTGGGATGGAGGCTGGAGTCTCATACTCCACTATTTTGGTGATATCATTCCCCTAATGGCATGCATTTTAATTCGATAAATCACTTTAGCTCAAGACAAAACAATATTGTTTTGTATTTATTCATTTATATTTACTTACTATATATCTTCATATAGAAGCTGCTGTTCCAAGCATATTTTCATGTCTTTCATTTCCCCCTGCATTTTCATATTTCCATTCAACATTACATTCCTGCCTGAATGAATTCCTTTAATATTTCCTGTAGAGCAGGCCTGTTAACAATGAATTCTCATAGTCTTTGTGTGAAAATGTCTTTATTTAATCTTCATTTATTAGCATGTTTTTGCTAACCACAAAATTTAAGCTATCAGTTATTTTTAATTATCAGTTTAAAGAAGGAATTCCATTTGTTTCTGATTTCAGTGGTGATTGATAAGACAGTGGCTATTAGTTTTGTTGTTGCTCTTTGAAGTTAACGTCTTTCTTCTCTAACAACTTTTAAAATTTTCGCATTAACTTTGTCTTTATCAGCTGTTTTTCCATGATATGCATAAGCATGATTTCCTACCTCTTTGTTGTTACTCTAATTGTGACATATTTGCTTTCTTATGTAGACTCATTTCATGATGACAGATAGAACTTTTCAATACCTGAAAACGAGATTGTTCTTCAGTACCTAAAAATACCAGAGAAGCTATAGAGATGTGCCAGAAAGACTGTTTGAAAGTAGGGAAAGAAGAATGCTTTCACCAAGTTCAGCTCATTTACTAAAGTAAGCTCAGCCCATTTAAAAAAAAAACCTTTTCATAAAAGGGGTAAATTCATTGAAGGAGTTTAAGCTACTCTTCTCCCTACCTTCTATCATTAATGCAAAATAGTAGTCTCCCTTGACTACTAACATTCCTTTCAGTGAAAATCTACTTATGGCTTTTAACTAATGGTGAGCACCAGAATCACATTTATAGCTTTGAAAAATTCATACAGCTATGTTCTACACTTGCCCAATCTGATTCAGATCTAGGACTAATCTTGTCTTGTCTTGTGTGTGTGTGTGTATGTACAGATACATGCAACTCAAGTGGTTCCCAACTTTTTAAAATTCCACTGATCACAAATGCTAAATATCTCTGCAATATATTTCTTCCTTTTACCTTTGCCAATTTAAATCAATACTCCATCTCTCACCTAGACTACCCTAGCACCCTCATAGCTATTCTAGAGTTTACTCTTTGTCCTTTATAGTCCAGCCTCCAAAGAGCTAACATCACCACCCATGTAACTTAAAAATCAGACCATACACTTGCCAACACAAATTCCTTCAAAACTTTCCATCTATGATTCCTAACCCTTGAAGTACTGACAAGTGCAAGTCCGTAAGTTCAGCTAGGGTGTTTGCACAGTAAGACTGGGGGAAAAGAAAAGCAAGTGTGGTAACTGTTTTCATGAAATCAAATGTATTCAGTTTAAATTACCTTCATTCTATGATATATCTTGTGTCAATATATTATTTCATGCTACTTTTTAAATGTCCTTATTTTACAAAGCAAAAAGACAAATCTATGCTGTTCTCCCCAATTTTTAAAACCATACTCACCCATGTGGTCAAAGTCTGGAAAACACTGATTGAGAATTAAGTACAACCTCCTTAACATGATACATAATATGGAAAATCTCCACCCCCCTCCAAGTGTGCACATGCATACACACACTCATGCACACGTGCACATGCATGCACACGCACACACACACAAACACCCCAAGGTTGTCCCTTTACTTGAATTCTTAAAACTACATTTCATTCATTCGCGTTTTCTTCTTTAAAAAAATATACTACTATTAGATCAGTGTTAATTATGTACAATGCACTATACTAGATGGGACATGAAAGTTATCAAGACAGAAAAAGGGCCCTGAGAGAAGTTAACAGTACTGAAAGATTTACATTTTGGAGCCAACTGCTGACTTCAAATTGGAGTTAATTATAGCACCTGCTTATAGCTAGTTATTAAATTATAATCATGGTTATTAGAAAGAAGTATAACGTGCCACAAAAGTGTATGCTGGGAGGATGTGACTTGGTCTTGAAAGCTCAGAGGTTTCCATGAGAAAGTGAATTAAAAACCAAGATTGGAGGCCTCCCCGGTGGCGCAGCAGTTGAGGGCTGGGTTGCGAAGCTGCCCGCAGCCTCTGCAGCGCCAGTTCGATCCCTGGCTGCTCCCCGGCCACCGGAGGAGGGTCCCACATGGCGCGCAGACCTCTCCTGCCGCCCGCTGCTCCCCTCAGCAGTGTACTTCGGTCCTTCTGCCTGCTCTGCTCCCCGCTCTGGCTCTGGTGAATTCTCTCACCCTCCTGCGCTTCTGACTGTACCCAGTGCTTGCATAAATAAAACAAACAAATAAATAAATAAATAAATAAAAATCTTATAAATAAATAAATAAATAAATAAATAAAAACTGAGATTGGGAGGGATGAATGGGCATGAACTAGCTGAATGGGAGAGCAGGAATGGAGGGAAGCGCGTAGATAATGGGAATGCTGTACTTGAAGAACTGATAGGCTGCTAATGACTAGTGCCCATGAAGACAGGAGTGAATACTAGGTAGGCTCATGAGGTAGGCCGGATGAAACCACACCTTATATGCCACTATGGATTCTGACCTTTTGTCTAAAAGTAATGGGAAGCCACTGAACGACAATGAAACATTACAAAGATGGTGAACAGTAATTTTCAGACCAGATTTGTACTTTGACAACTGTGGTGGCTGTTTCCAGAAGAGGACTGAAAGGCAGCAAGAGTGAAAACATGGAGACAAGTTGGGGAGCTGATGAAATAGTTCAAGTAAACAGTAATGGCAGCATGGAATAATGAGGTAGCAATGGAGATGAAAACACCTTGGCAAAATTAGAAGATATTTTGAAGGTCAGATTGATACAACCATCCACACACAATCCTATGCAAACACATTGTTTAATTTTTCACAGGAGAAGCACAACAAAGCTCTTAACACCAAGGGACCTAACGGACGCTCACTACCTGAATAGTGGCTGCAACCCGACTGAAAGAAAAAGGATTACTGAAGTAAGGTTGTAGAAAGAGGCCAGACCACTAGCACTGTGGAGATACTCAACACAGTAGTATTTAAGAGGTGAGGGCTAATTCGTTGAGGAAGTGCAGTGAGCAACCAGAGTAACAAATAGAGGAAACTCCAAAGGGGAAAAAAGAACAAATCCTTGAAGAATTCGATAAGTGCACTGTTTGTAGAGAGCATTCTTTCCATACTGTCTTCGGAGCAAAAGCCTAAAGTTCTTCAGTTGGGGCAACTAAGGAAGAACTTTCAGTTGCAAATTATTAGAAAGGAAAGTGATGTTTTCACAACTTTGAGCACGAGGATGATAGGGACATCTCTCAGTATCTGGCACTGACCAACTTTTAGACAAAAAGAAAACAAAGTTTTGCATAGTCTTCTAGCCTGGAAAGCTGAAATGTTAGCTTTTATTGGAGAGGACAGGAAAGAGATAAGCTCCATATTTTCCTTTCTCAGACTGGAAAAAAATGGAGTAATCGGGCCTCCCCGGTGGCGCAGCGGTTGAGTGCTGGGTTGCGAAGCTGCCCGCGGCCTCTGCGGCGCCGGTTCGATCCCCGGCTGCTCTCCGGCCACCGGAGGAGGGTCCCACATGGCGCGCAGACCTCTCCTGCTGCCCGCTGCTCCCCTCAGCAGTGTACTTCGGTCCTTCTGCCTGCTCTGCTCCCCGCTCTGGCTCTGGTGAATTCTCTCACCCTCCCGCGCTTCTGACTGTACCCAGTGCATGTATAAATAAAACAAACAAACAAACAAATAAATAAATAAACATGCCTCTATAAAAAAAAATGGAGTAATCAATTCTAGATAATAGAAAGAGATGTCATCGGGACTGAAAAAGACATGTTAGTATGTTGTTAGAATTCTTCAAGGGTCAGCTGATTTTGGAAAAATGTGTATAGCATCAAGTTGCTTCCAACGGTCCCCTTAATTGCTTTAATATCTTTTCCATACTGGTGACAACACTAATAACTACACTTCAAGGGTTTTGGTGAAGGAATAAATCTTCAGGATATGGACAGATGTCAGTGTGAACGTGTATGTGCATTTGTGTGTGCGTGTGCGATCCAGGCCTACTGTTCGGCAGACAACTGACACTCAGTAACGGCTACAATTCTTCCCCTTGCCTAATCTTGGTCACCAAACTGAACAAAGGCATGCTAAGCCGCCATGCACACTCCTCAGTTCAGGATCAGGAGGCTGACAGAAAGCTGTATCTGAAAACTGGAGTGCTCAGAACAACTCTGGATTTGGAGGGAGCGTGTTTTTCAGAGGAGCCTCAGATTTGTGACAAGGTCAGAGGAATATGCTAACAGAGAGAGATGACTCATGAGAGAGTGATGAGAACGTGACGAGAGCAACACTTCCTCAAATTTTGGCTTTTCTAGTTTGGAGCAAGTAGAAAAACTATACTAGAGAAAGAAACCCACTTGTAAAGAGATGACTTGGTATCTACAAAGTAATACATTTGGTTGCTTTTATAAATAAAAAGTAAGCACAGTGCTCGTTTTTATTATACTAATGCTTATAAACTATTGCAATTAAGTTCCACTTACAACTGTTAATTCTGTTTTATAATTTAGTTCCTGTACTCGGTTGTTCTTTCAAAACATAGCATGGGTGGTTTCAATAGATAGCAGATGACAGACACTACTTCCAGGTTTCCAATGAATCCTAAAATGACTGCATTTCCAGAAAGTCTGGAATATTTTCCATTGATATTCCATAGAAATAGAGCTATAGAGTCCTATCTCATTTTGCAGTGGATTACTTAAAAAAGAAGAAGCATATTTTATGGACTATCTTAAAAACCAAAACCAGAAAATAATAACCTACATTTTCTAAAATCCATCTGCATCATCAGATCCTTAGGTACAAGCCCTTCTAAGGCAGGGGGGCTAGGAGGATTAGCACTTCACAGCTACAAGCATGAAATGCCACTTCCTATAATCATCTTCATTTCTTTCAACTGAGATGGAAACTTCCATCTCAATTAAGGATTTTAGAGCAAAAAGGATCAGACGCATCCCTTTTGACCCATATCCTTTTGTGTCTTTTTCCCTTTCCAGACATTTTTGTATAACTTCAGAATTTTCACTTTTCCAAAAAAAGAATAGGTTGAGCTTTCTTCCCTTTGAAATGTCTCTTTGGACCCTTTAAAAATCACGTCTTAACTGAAGTGATTTTTTACTTATTTTTAAATTTCTCAGTCCCTAAGGTACACCATATTCTTTAAGTTATTTTAGTAAGAATTTTATATTTTAGCTCTGCCTAGAACTGGAATCTCAGATAGCTTAAAGGCATTTTCCATTTTTATTTTTTAAAGAGTGGCCTGTAAGTATGCTTAGTCTTTTGAAAGTGATATGCTTTGCAGGGAAATGCCCTAAAATATTCACATTCCTATACCCAGACAATTTCAGGGGAGCTTTCTAATAAAAGTTAAATTAGCAAGGGTTTCAAACACTTGCATTCTAAAAGTCTCACCTACACACGCCACCATTTAAATTTCCCAGGACTTTGATGTTTACATAAACTTGTGAATGCTGACTACCTCATATAATTTATCTATTTGAAGGTTTTACTAAGCAGAATACAATTAAAGACTACATTTTTTAAAGATTTAGACCAAAATACTGTTATTACACTTGTTTCATTTAAGTGGTAACTAACTCTAAGGCAAAATTTCTCAACATTGGCACTACTGACACTTTGGTCTGGATTATTCTGTGTGCTGTCCAGTAAGAGTAAGATGTCTAGCAGCAGCCCCGACAATACCCTCTCGATGTGAACAGTGCACCGGCCTCACTGTCCCCAGCCCCCTTACCTCTGACAACCAAAAAATGTGTCCAGACATAACAAATGCCCCAGGGGTTGGGTGCATGGTCATCACCAAAACCAAAAACAATAAGCCTCAATCTTTATTTTTATAAAGGAGGCCTGTAATGTAAAACAAAACTAAGCGGAACCAAACACTCTGGGAGGAAAAACAAATTTTAAAAAAATAATCAAATTAATATTGTAATTATAAACCAATCAGTTTCTGTGCAGTAGAGTCTGATTGTAGCTGAACCTCAGATAATTTCAATACTATTTCTCTGTAAAGGGCACCACTCACTTTTAGGTTCATCATCGTTTGCTTCTTTTCTCTCTGAAGTTCTTCCCTGTATGGCTGGATGTTTTCCTCTCTGTCTGATAATACAGCCTCATCGCCACTACTCTGTTCCTTGCTCACCTCACACCTTTGCTCCAAGTTGTTTTCAACCTTGACTAAAGCAGAAGAAAGAGAACCAAGGGTAACCAATTCCTTCTCCAAAGTATATGCCAAATGATCGATTGGGAAATCTTCCATTCCTGATTTTAGCTTTTTGAGGACACAGTTTATAGGGAGAACTCTGATCAGGTTATGAAGGCACTGGAACAAAACTGTGTGATTCCTAAAATAAAAAACCAAACACAATATTATAAATTTTGTATACAATAGATTGCAATAATCAATAGTCATCTATAAACACTCTAGCAATAAACAGAACCAGTAATGCACGCGTGTGATCACTGATGACACTAAGACTATACCAATCATATATATCCTATACCAAGTCACTTAATATTAGTTAATATTAATCAATATTTTATTTTTAAAATGTCATTGGGGGAGATGCAAGAAAAAAATCTTAAAATAATTATTAGACCCTAGTCAAGCAAAACAAGCCAAAAACAAACAAAAGTACAACAGAGAGCTTCAGTTTCTAAATGAGGCCACAATGACCAGACATGTCTTATGATGGCAGAGAACTACAGTGAGGACGGCTGTTGGACCACACATTCAATATACATACAAACACACACACACAACTAACTTCTCCAAAAGGATGCAAGTTTGATGTGCATACCTGACATAGACCATTAAAATCCCTTCAAATGGTGTTTTTTGTTGCCAACTGAAAACTGTTCCATAGAAACTTCCTTGCCTTTTACAAAAGTACATTTCTGGAAATTCTTCAATCACTTCACATTTCATGTGGTCAAAGAGCCACACCTTCATTGAATTCAGGGCATAACTGGGTGATATGATTTGAAAACAACTTTTGTGTAAGGCTGCAAGAAGTGCGAAGAGATCTTCCATGTGTTCTACAAGAAAAAGATGTCATAAGCTCTGTCATTAAACTCTGTCCATTATCGAAGAGAGTTCTTAGAATTTTCTTATGCAATCGGGTATATGATTTAAAAGAACCAACAAAAATTACCTATAGGATTCTTCTTTGAAAATGTGACTATGTATTTTTCATTTGAAAGATCTTCTAGACTTATGAAGATCCTGCCACACTGAATATAGCCATCTTCAGAAGAGTCAGCATTTTCTCTCTCCCTGACTTGTAGCAGCACAATGCAATCAAAATTTTTGAATGCTAAAAGGGGTGGAAGAGATGTTACAGCAGTAATTAGGTGTACAGAATCTTTCTCAGATGGTGGTTTACTAACAAAGCGTTCCTTTTTCTCTTCATCAGTGTCCACAATCAACCTGATTCTTTTTGCCTGGGATTCTATTTCACATGGCACTAAATGCGGTGCTGGCAAAGAATCCCTCCTCAACTTGATCACCCTATTTCGACACTTCACAAAATTAAAGTTGGAGGAATCAGCTTGAGCCACTAACAGCGATAAAGTCACATGATTCAGAGATCTGCCAAAAAAAAAAAAAAATTCAGAGCTTAATTTAGTCTAAAAGTTCATTCTTTAAAATTAAATAGCTGAGGGCCTCCCTGGTGGCACAGCGGATTGAGTGCAGCGCCGTGAAGCCATCCGCAGCCTCTGCAGTGTGGGTTTGAGGCCGGCCGGCCGGTGAGAATCCCACATGGCGCGGCAGACCTCTCCTGTTGCACCCGCTGTTCCCCTCAGCAGTGTATTTTGTCAGTTCTGCCTGTTCTGCTCCCCGCTTTGTCTCTGGTGAATCCTCCCAGCCTCCCGTGTCTCTGGCCTGTACCCCAGCTCTTGTATAAAAATAAATAAATCTTTAAAAAAATAAATTAAATTAAATAGCTGATTAAATGCCATACAAACAGTAAGAAACTCTATTCTCTCCTTTCATAATAAACATTACTTCCATTGTAAAATATATCAAGAAATGAAGCATAAAAGCCAAAAACATTTTTAAAGATCCTGTAAATATCACTTTTCTGGACAGAGGAAAGCAAAAACTATCCTCTATGTTAGACTTTAGAAAAAGTAATTTTTCTAAAGCAAGGAATAGAAAAATAATACATGGATTTTATCTTCGAGGTAGGTCTTCTATCCTCCCTTCTTCTTAAATAAGAAAAAAGCAACTTCTTAAGAGAATTTGTTTTAATAACTTAGAACTCAAATACCTCTAATGGCTAAATTATACTTTATACTCCCCTAAATGAGTAAAGTCTACTTTTTAATAGAGAACATTGTTTATCCCTCAACAATGATGTTTTGGATATAATGTTAAACTTAATTTCACCTCTATTTCTATTTTTAGTATGGTTATTAGAACATTTAAAATTGCATTATACTTCTGTTGGGCAGCATTATTCTAGGGCATCAAGATAATGTTATCATGTTACAATGTACTTACAGGTGCAAAGATGAAGTTTTCACTCCAACAATCAAGTTATCATCCATTACACGATACCATATCTTCTCCACTATCTGTTCTGAGATTTGAAAACTGTCTGGCGGCTTTTCATCAAAGGTATGGATAGGATTTTCCTCTTTACCACAAAGTGTAACAAGACATTCCTTATAGAAAAACATGTGTAAATAACTGATTATTAAGAAAAAAAAACTACCTTATCAAATGCAACAAAACTAAATAATGTAAATCAGCTAGCTTTATGCCAAGACTCATGGCTTACATGTTTTAAGATAATTTAAAATCTATAATGATATATTATATATAATATATAATTCACTAAAGTAAAATTTATAAAACATGTAATTAGCTATCTACTCAGCTCAAGAAGCACAGCCTGGTTAGAAACAAGGTGGGATGTTCAATCCAGACAGCAGGGATATTAACCGAGAGTTCATTTTGACCAATAATTGGCCAGCATGTGCCCCAGGTATGCTGAGAACGATCCAGTCTTTATTTTATCAGTGATTTGCACTAAACCTATTAACCATGAACTTACATATGAATAAATCTGATTAAACTATCTTTGGACCTGCAACAGATTACTGCTAAAATTGTACACTTAAAGCCCAGGCCAAACTCACTCATACACACACACACGGATTTATGGTGATGATAGACAGGAGCAGGAGGAGTAATGATAATAATACAAAACACTTATGGAGGCTAAGTAAATGTCAGGCACTGTCCTAAATGCCATTCAAGTATCAATTTAACCTTCACAATAACTCTAGTACTCTAGAGGTCAGCAGTGGCATCACCTACACTGTACAGATAAGCAAACAGGCACAGGGAGCTCACTCCCCTAGCCACAGTCACACAGTCAGCAGCAGCAAAGCTGCAATTTGAACCAAAGTGGGCTGGTTCCAGAGCCCAGGCTCTTCTTTACTATTACTGCCCCTCCATGTGGTAATGGCTGAGAAAAGATTTTGGCACTTACTGTACAGAGGAGCTCCTGCCAATATCTGTGAGATTTAAGACAGGGTATTCATCCAAAACCTACGGAAATGTTTACTACCTGCCAGGATTGCTTTTAAAATTAACCATGTGAAGGGCACAAGATGGTGCATTACACACAGTGGTTTCAACCATCTATTTCTAAGTATCTCTTCCCCTTTTCTCAAACGGACAAGATCGTTGAGGTGGGTGGGGGAAGGGAAATGAGGAGACTTTTACAATAGGGGTCATGAGGTTTTCCAGGGCAGTTAGAACAGTAATACAGAAGCTCAACATGATGTGCTTCTGTTATGTTTCTTACAGTAACAGAATCATATTTTTGTACCCAAATCCTCATATTGCTAAGACTAAAGCAGGCAAAAAACAGACCATTACAAGAATGGTAAATAATCTCAAAGGAAGTCAGAGCTCAGGAGCAAGGTGACTTAAAAGAATAAAATGCAACATTAAGCTTCCCGACATCTAGCTCTCTTTTGGTTTTTGTAATATTGTTATGCTATGTCTTTCTCTGGATGGAACTAATATGCATCTATATAATTTTTATGATGTTGAAACAGTTTTTGCTAACTTTCTACATTATTGAACCAGCACAAGTAACTGCAAGGTACCTGAAGGTGTTCTTACAGTGAACAGATATGAGAACTAAAAAAGCACTGCAATTTAGGGACATTAACAAGAGGAATAAATATCTTTAAAAGAACACTTTCTACAGTAATGATGAAATTACATCATCATCAACACAAGGTTAAAAATGCTCAGTTTATTCTGTTTAAGAAGTCAAAAATATATAATTCACTTTGAAGCAATTTCTATTCAAACCATACAAATAAAAAAGTTGAATAGTTAAATCTTTTTTAAGCAAAATGACTTATTCCCCAAGGTTCCTGATAGCTGAGATTTTAATATCTTACAGAAGAAGAAGAATTTGCAAATTTGTATAATATTGGCCCCTTAATCAAATATTTTTCAATGTCATAAAAGCTGAATATTATAATCCCTGCCACTTTTCTTCTTGATCCACTGAACAGCATTTTCTAACATATTCCAATATTCCAATTTAAATAACTGTTCAATAGCTTGCATAGTCTCAATTCATGAAATGATAAAATGATGACATGATTAATTTACCTCCTCTGTACTTGAAGTACTATCATCTTTCCCGTGAACCAGATTGATAAAACTTTTGCAAGATTTTGAAATCATTTTTTCCTTAAGTAAGAGATGCTGCTGTAATTCCTGAATAGAAGCCAAACCAACCTGTAAAGTAGAAAGGAAAATCATTGCCAGAGACATAATTTCAAATGAAACCTGACACACCATTAACTCAGGGAGCACTTTCTCCAAATTTGCTTATTAATTCATTTTTCTATAGAAGATCAGAGGGCACTTCCCAGAGCAAAGCTGTTTTATATATTAATTTTAAGCCTCTAATTTTAAAAATGTACATTTTTTTCTTTCAAAGGAAAAAAAATCACACAGCAAACAACTGCAATAGTTTATGTATCAAATTGAGAGAATGCCCACATATTAGCATGTTTTGCCACTGAATTAAGTAACCAATATGAATATGAATATGTCCAATGAATATGAATAGAAATCAAGGTGTACCAACACTCGTATGCTTACAAACTATTTTTCTGACTGAGATAATTTCTGCTTCAAAAACAGAGCATCCACAAAAGCAAAGACAGCACCATCACTAGAAACAGTCATGTTTAATTTGATACTGTCTGAAATCCTCTGTTCACATAACCTTTACAACAAAATTTTAAAGATAACACATAACAGCCCTCAAACCGTCAGGATTTATTTTTGTGCTAATAAACTCAGTACTAGAATCAGAGCTTAGCTACAGAAAAAAGAGAACTGGCTCTGAACTGGGTAGAGAGCAATCCATTCCTTTTTATACTAGATAGATCTCAGCACTAAGGATGAAACATTCATGAAACGTATTTTGTTGCTGAAAATTTAAAAAGAGTCCCATCATGGAACTGATAACTGTTTCATTTCAGATGGAGTCTGAGACTGTTTAAGAATTAATCCAGTTCTTAATGTAACACATTTGTTCTAGACTTAAAAAACAAAATGCATCTTGTTTTTAGATTCCATTTAAATTACGTTTTAAGACAGGTGAATTCTTTTTCTTTCTATCAATGAATACAAGTTGGAGAGTGAAGTCTGAATTATATCTTACCTCATTGCACAAAGATTGCAAAATGTCTAGCTAATATTTTAAAACTTCATCTGTTTACCTAGTTCTGTGGGCTCCACATCACTTACATTCCATCACTCCTTCCTGGAGTAACTTGTGACTTAGGGGAAGGGAGATGTACCCATCAGAGGTGGAGAGTCAAAGAGGAGGCTGCTGGGGGCTTAGGAAGTGTAAGAGAGGAATGTGTGGGCAGAGTGTAAAGAAGGGCACCCCCAGACCTTACCCCTGTTCTCCCTTCCCCACTCACCCTCCCATGCTCCAGGCCTAACTGGTGAACCACTAAACGTACATAACTATGTTTTGTCAGAAAATGATGAAAATGAGCACATGGTAAGAAATTTAAACCTAAAAGTTCCAATTGCCTTCCCTTCCTAGACCCTCAACCCCATTTGCGCAGCCAATAGATTGTTCACTTTTCCAGAACTTCTCCATGTATGTGTTAAGGAATGCTTTCTTTCTCCTCCCCACATACAAAACCTACCCCAAACCAAATACAGGTATATATACTACATCAAACCTTGCTTATTTTACTTTTTGTATTGCAATGTTTCTCATGCATGCAGAAGGCACAACATAAAACACAGTTCACAAACTACTAGTGAAGTCAACACCTATGTAATCACACTCAAGGCAAAATGCCGCACTCCAGGAGCTGCCTGGGGGGGCCACCCTAGTCACTAAGCTGGCTCTGTCCACGGGAGGCAACACTCCCCTGCCTTTAAGATAGCTTCCTTGTTTGTCCTCATAATTTGATCATCATTGTATGACCTCCTAAAGAATAGTTTTAGTTTTTTGTGTTTTGCTTCTGAACCTTTTATAAATGGAGCCATTCCGTAGATGTTACATTTTAGAGTCACTAGTAGCTGAAGTTCACGCCTTTCACTGCTCTCAAGTGTGTCATCAGATGACTAGACCAGTTTTACTTCTCCATCCTCCAACTGACGGACATCTGGATTACACGACTCCAGCTGCAGAGCACTATAACCAATGCTGCCATGAACATTCCTGCACATGTGCACAAGTTTCCCCGAGGTCCTGATCTCCCACTTACCCTCCAACAACGGGCCGGAAACCCACTTTGAGGCAGAAAGAACAGCGAAATGGACTCGAATGCTAGCTCTGCAAGTTATATAGACTTTCTGTCTCTCCATTTGTTTCTGCATATGTAAAATTCAGGCAAGTCTAGACTTGTTAATCTCCAAAATGCTTGGAAATTTTTTTTCCCCCCATGTGCCCTAGGCATAAAACAGCTCCGGCCACCAATGCAGGCATCCAGCTAGCATGAACAAAGGACTGTGCGTCTTCTTTGCCCCTGAGTGATAGAAGAATAACACCACCAATCAGGTGTCTCTTTGCCCATCGCCAGGGGTTAGGGTAGTTTTATCTATGCTAAGGGCTGCCGATACCATGGGTCACTGGAAACAAGATGGACGCCTGCCTGTCTCGTCCCCCCGTTTCTGTGTGACCCTGCGTTTCTTTCATGTTCCTGTTTGTCTCTGAGCTCCATCTGGCTAATTTTTCTAACATGTGCTCTGGTTTGCCTATCTGCTCTGTGTCTCCCTGAGTCAACTGTTAAAATGATCTGCTGAGTTTTTCTTTTTTTTAAATTTCAATATATTTTCAGTTTATAGAAATGGTGTCTGGTTATTTTCTGCAAGCATTACTCATAATGTCTTGTTTCTTTTTGTGCTTATTCTGTGGGTGGTTCATTTTCTTTGAAAAATAACTTGGGACATTTATGAGAGGCCTCAGATAAATTTGCGTTTTGAGAGAGGATTTTGTTTGTTGCTGCCAGGTACCTAGGATACTCCTGCTTTAGGTCAAATCTCTCTAGGTTCCAGTCTTTGGAGTTTGGCCTGAAAATGTATTCCTTTATTTTTAGCTTTTTGAAACTGGACATTCAGTGGTGAACTTAATGTAGTATATACACATGTTGATTCTCGGTGTACATCTGACTTCTATAATGTCAACATGCAATGTTAACTGAATTTTTTTTAAGTTGCTTAAAAAATATTCCAATTATCGTTTTAAGCTGTTTTAATCAGAAGAGTTACTCTAAAGAAATTAGATGACATTATCAGAAGTGGAACTTCTGAAAATCATGTTAGCATAAATGAAATTATTTTGAGATCATTTTTAAATCAAAAAAATATCTACCTTATTCTTTGTGATATCTGCATAGTGTGTCATGTTCCATGTGTATCGTAATTCAGTGGCCATTCTCCTAATGATGGATATTTTTATTTTGACTGAATTGTATTATTTATAACTACTACCTATATGTTTCTGTACAATAACCTTTTCTTACATGTACAAGCATATCCTTAGAAGAGATTCCAGATATGAAACTGTGAGAATAAAAAGACATGTGCAATTCATATGTTAATAGCTCTAACAAGTTTCCCTCTGAGGAGGCTCAGCCACTTTATATTCTCATCAATAGTGTCTCAGAAAGTATATTTACATTAAGGAAAGTAACCCTTTGTCACACATCAAAATTGCTTTTTCCACAATTTATCTTTGCATTTTACTCTGTTCAGAGAACAAAAGTTTTTAAAGCATCAATCTTTTTCTGTTATTGTTCTATGTCCACTATGTTTTTACCTACTCACATTCACATCTACTATGAATTTATAATTCAGTAAGAATTTAGTGAATTAACTCTGAAAGTTATAAGAGTTATAAACTAATTTTAAAACAATCTACAAAGTGAAAAATATTAACTATCTGGTCCTTTACCACAAAAATGCCAGAGATAGAGGAAAAAGTTAAATGGCACCACAATGAAACAGACTCATCTAAAAGGAGGGGCAGTTGGCCTGCCATCCACAGTAGTGCCATTTAAAATGAAGGGGTGGGGCCTCCCCGGTGGCGCAGCGGTTGAGCGCTGGGTTGCAAAGCTGCCCGCAGCCTCTGCAGCGCCGGTTCGATCCCCAGCTGCTCCCTGGCCACCGGAGGAGGGTCCCACATGGTGCGCAGACCTCTCCTGCCACCCGCTGCTCCCCTCAGCAGTGTACTTCGGTCCTTCTGCCTGCTCTGCTCCCTGCTCTGGTTCTGGAGAATTCTCTCACCCTCCTGCGCTTCTGACTGTACCCAGTGCTTGTATAAACAAACAAACAAACAAACGAATAAACAAACAAACAAATAAATAAATAAATCTTTAAAAAAAAAAATAAAATGAAGGGGTGGCATTATTCTAGATGAAAAGGTCAATGAGACATCTAACAATCAGATACAAGTGTCAACTTTAGTTAGATCCCGAAAAAAGCAGCTAAAATAGTTTTGTGATAATTGAAAACACTTGAATATAGACTAAAAAGTAAGTAAGATTAAAAGATCATTACTAATTTTCTAAGTACAATAATAGTATTGAGGTTACATAATAGAATGGCCTTATTTTTAGGAGGTTTCCGCTATAATACACCAAGAATGAAGTATTAAATATTTGTAACTTTCAAATAATTCTACAAAAATGTATATAAACAAGCACAAAGATGAGGCAAACATGATTTTTTAAAAAGTAACAGCAGTTTAATCCACATGGGGACCAAAGAGATAATCACTGATAGAGATAATTTAACTTTTTAAAAAAACTTTTCTGTATATTTTGAACATTTTTATGAATAAAAAAGGTAGGTTATCAAAACGATAGCTAATTTCAATACTGGTTTCTTTTAAATTATTATTTAATATTTATTTAAATTAAATTTTTTAATATTAAATAATTATTTTAATAAAAATTTGAGTATTTTACAGGGAACATGCATTACCTTCAAAGATGTGGAATAAACAAAAACTTTCATCAGAAGTTTTGTATGAAGACCTGAAGGTAAACTATTCATGTTTGCAACATGTTATAAATCATATTTGGCGCTTCCATAAAGTATGTTGTGATACATTGATACTACACACTAGGAAAGAATGTGTTTTCAAAAGTCAGCTTTTTACATTGTATCATGAGGCTTAATAAATTTATATTATCTTACTACAAAAGGTATCATTTTAAATGACATATTTATAAGTAATGTCATAACAGTTTTTTTATTTTATTTTATATATTTTTACATCATTTTTCACTTTTGCACAATGTATGCATTTTCATCTTGGTTATATTCCCCATACAATTCCCATCCCCCCCTTGTTTTGACCCTAATCCCTCCTCACCCCCCGCCCCCCAAGAGTCTCTGGTTTATAGTTGTTTGTTGATTTTGATTTAGAACACCATGTTTCCCCAGATACGGTGTTGGGTCTTATTCTTTAAGGCCCTTTCTTTCCTTGGTTTAGAACAGCACTAACCCCCAAAATTCAAAAGTAAAAAGCAAACAGAGGCACTAACTTGCACTCTTCTTTCCAGAGGTGGAATGATCAAACAACGATTCTTCTGTGTGTCTTCAAATAAATCATTTTCGTTGCATTCCAACGGTTCACTCTAATAAGAAAAGAAACTAAAATTGAAATTCTGGAATAAATTGAAACTTAAGATTAACAAAATACACCTAAAATTTATCCAATCACTTTATCCATGAGAAGTTTTCCATGTTACATGCTAATTTATAAAAGACAAAATATCTATTTCCCCCATCATCTTCTTGTAACTAGAAAAGAAGAACTACTATAACCTCACACCTAATACCCATTTACAGGTTTCTCTCTTTCTGAAAGTAAAACACTCCTATTTGGTATGATCTGGTTGGTTATCTTTTTGTTCTGCGAATGCTCAAAATTGTTCCCTAATCTACAAAATCATAAATAGAACTTCCTACTTTCACAGTCGGAAAAACCTGTATTGCTTCAAAAAGTATCAACTTACTAGCTTTTTATAAAATCCTATTAAGTAGAGAAAAAACAAATCATCATTTTACAAATGAAAAATGCTGAGGCTCAGAATATTTATATGGATCTGAAAGTTCAGGGGTATTACTTCTCTTATGCCCAACCTCTTAAGTTATTATGAATTGCTACTTCTTTTAATAAGGTAGGTTCACTTCACTTTATTTTTTAATCCAACTTATCATGTTTATTGGACTAAAATGTGATTTTTAGAAGTAACAATGAAGTTTATTTTACAATATTATCATCATTTGAATGACTACTAGATAGTTCATATATAAAAAGCAGTCAATTTGTATAACTTGTTGAAAGGGGATTCAATGTATATATTTTAAAAAGTCAATCTGGGCCTCCCTGAGGGCACAGCAGGTTGAGAGCAGTGCTGTGAAGCTGTCAGCAGCCTCCACGGTGCCAGTTCGATTCCCGCCTGGCTGGGGAGATTCCCACATGGCCCGACAGACCTCTCCTGTCTCATCTGCTGTGCCCGTCAGCAGTGTATTTCGGTCCTTCTGCCTGTTCTGCTCCCTGCTCTGTCTCTGGTAGACTCTCTCACCCTCCCGCTTCTCTGGCCTGTACCCCAGGGCTTGTATAAATAAATAAATCTTTAAAAATAAATAAATAAATAAAAGAGTCAGTCTATGTATTTTTAAAGTTCAAAAAGTCTAGTTTAAAAGCACAAATCACTAAAGGGTGGGTCAAAGTTTTAAAGCACATTTCCTAAACTGGTTCTTAATGTATAAAAAGTAAACAGAACTTACTGAATAGTTTATGCTGCCAAAATCTGTTATTTTAAATGAACTCAAGCAATCTAAATTCAAAGAGTCATTAAAAATTAGTAGTACTTGTTCAGTTCCAGTTCCAATAAAGTCATCTATCAGTACTGACTTAATATTTTCCCACTTAGCAGCAACCTGAAAGAAAGAGAGTAGCAAAGGAGGAACAGAGAAGGGGAAAAAGTCAGGTATGAAATCAACTAAATCTTTTTGTTGTATTTAATTATAATTTGTCATCCTCAAGCTTACAAACATATCATGAAAATGGTAAAAAACAAAAAAATTAGATTAACATACTGGGGGATCAGAAAACATAAGGAGTTATAATCACTTTATAAATAACAGGGTACTTAGATTTAATATTTTATCAATGCTTGTCCAGGGACTGCCATGTGCCTGATTTCCGTATTAAACTTTCATTATAATTTATAAATTCTAATACTTCCCATCACTAAATATTTTGAAATTCTAACTTTTCTCATGAGTAACTCCAAGAAGATTCCTTCTCTAACATCGTTAATTTAAGGACTCCCATAAGCTTTAGTGGATATGTATTTATCATCAAACCAATTATGCAATGAATTCAGTTGCATGAAGTAACCAGAAGGTATTAGTAGACACTTTAAGAACTCTCAAGCAGAATGACCTTTAATGTAGTCAAGATGAATTTACTATCCTAAAGTGTGGTGGGGAAGACCATAGCCACTATCAGGGGCACAGAAAAGCAGGGATCCTAATAGTGGGAGGCCTAGAAATGTCCTAGTCGAAGGGAATGTTTTGATTGGTCTGTAATAAAATATGACACTGCAAGTTCAAAACAGAAGACAACCTCTGTAAGGTCCATAAAACTGCAAGTCTCTAGATTGGTCCCTGGAACTCTCTGGGAATCAGCTACTCCTTCTCCCACAGGCAGAAGAGCTAACAGTCCCACTGAGAATCCCAGAAGCGCAGATATTTCATCTGGATGGTATGGGAGTGCAGGTTGCATTAGAGCCAGAATGTAAGACTCTCCTACCTACATAGCCAAATATCAATCTTTTCCCTATATGACTAATTTCCAAAGCAGTGATTTTTCACTTACGGAGGGAGGAAGCTAATTTGTAAACCCATATCCTCTCTCCCTCCTACCCCTCCAGGAGTATCATGGAGCATAATGAACTATGTGAGGAGACTTTAGTAATAAGAATGTGCTCAGCATGCAAACACCATAGAATGCGTGTACACACATTTGCGAGCTTTATCTCTAGCCTAGGATAGTGCCATCCAAAGGAAATTAAAGGTGAGTTAGAAATGCAAGGCACGCACATACGTAATTTAAAATTCTCCACATGGGTTAGTGGTTGCTGTATTAGACAGCACACTTCTAAAACATATTAACTTCTTTCTGTCTACAATACACCAGTATCTGTTTTAGGAGCACCGGCCAATGATGTCAATGTTGAAATGGCCACTACAGAGACTGCCAATTTTGCAGAGATGATTTTTATTTAAGAGAGAAAGTCTAAAACCAAAGTCATACAGAAAGATCAGATTGCTGGTTCCCAGAGGCAAGGGGAAGGGAAATTGGAGGAAGATGACCAAAAAGTATAAACTTCTAGTGGTAAGATAAACACTAGGGATCTAATTAATGTACAACAGGATGGCTATAGGTAACACCAGTTGTGTGCATCGGAAGGAAAACAACTTTTTTCCTTCTTTTTGGTATCTCCTTGAGATGTTCGATGTTTAAACTTTTTGTGGTACTCATCTCATAATATCAAGTAAAATCATGATGCCGTACACCTTACACTGTACATAGTGCTGTATCTCACTCAAAGTGGAGGGGGGAGAGAGAAAGAGAAAACCTAAGAGAAAAGCTCCTCATGTGTTTCTCAAGACTCAGCTCTTGTGTTTCAAGTCCTGCCACTTATCAAACATTATACCTGGGACTTTTGTGAGGAGATGATCTGAGAACTGCACTAAACTGGATTTTCATTCCATATTCTAATTGATACTTGCTTGCATTTTACTTACAGAGACAGGGCAAGTCCTTTAGGGAATGAAGTGAGTCACGGATGACAGTCCTGGTCTTTGTTTAATCGAACCAGTGACCACTTACTGCACTGCACTGGGTGTCAAGCTCTGTGCAGACATTGATCATGTGATTTTACTGGATTCTCCCCTCTCAAGCAGGATGACCTCAACTTTATAAAGAGGGAAAGTGAGTTCACAAATTTTAAAAGCATTCTTTACAGCAATACTAGTAAGGCTCAGTGGGATTCAAACACAGGTTAAGTTTGTTCTTTCCATCACCCTAACCCCAGTAAGGATTCTAAACATTGTACGATGTTTCCCCTGTACCATTTCTTGAAAGGGGAGTAGAAAAAGATAAAAAAAAATGTTATCTTCCAAACAACTTTCAAATAAAAGTACAATGCACTTTAAAAAGACTGTTTTCAAAATAAAATAGGATAGCTTTAAAATATTTTCCTTTTGAGAATTTAAGTCCTCTATGTATTACAGAGGTTGAATATATTTATAGACTCCTTATTCACATAAAATAACAAAAAATAACTTTCAAACTTTTAAAAACATTCAACAATATTTCATGTAAAGGTGATAATATAGTGATAAAAATTTTAAGTGAACTTCTAATGAACAGGACACAGAAGGCAGTATCTTTCCAAAGTAGCTCGGAACTTAAAAAGTTACATTACATACTAAAAAATTACTTATGAAAGATACATTTCTTCCATCCAAATACTAACCAGGCCTGACCCTGCTTAACATCCAAGACCACACAAGATCAGGCATGCTCAAGGTGGTATGGACAGATGAGAGATATTTCTGACTAGTAATGATTATCTTGAATTATAAACACTTCACATCACATAACTGAGCTGATATGTATCTTAAACCAGGGTCAGAGAAACAGTACTGGTAGAGCCACCCAAACCTCCAAACTCCTATTCAGTTTCTGCTCCTTTGTATGTGTTACTGAACATGCAATTCCAGTGCATATTTCAAAGCAATTTCCAAACCTTACCCTAAAACATACAATTATATATAGATAAAATGTGAATGCTTGCTCTGAGTTTTGAAATAAAGCATAATAAAGTTCTTTAAGCAGTAACTTTTAGAAAAATTATCACTTAGCATTTGTCTCTAGAGAACAACTGTCTAATTACCAACTTTTAAATAACAACTATATAATAATTGCAGCTACATATTTATGTATTTCCAAACAACTCAAAGATTTTTTTGACTCAAGATGGCAAGTTAAACCTTTATCAGGTAATATTCAGGTAACTTTAAGAAAAAGAACAATGTAATAGATGATTTTAAGTGCAGCCCTAAAAATGGATTTGGATAGTAAGACTCCAGGATGAACTCTATAAACCACAGGAATGCTTAATCGATCCAAGACCACACCAAGTGAATGATTATGAAAATAAGCACAGTACCTGAAAGTTCTTATTCCAAACAGCACAAGCATCGTTAGACCTAAAGGATACCACGAAGAGGATTTCTCCTCCACCGCCATCCATAAGTTGGACTGCACAAGGATCTCCAAAAGGAAGCTGGCACACACTTTCAGGAGTCCCATTTTGGAATGAAATCAGTTGATTCTTTCGAGTGAGGGCAACCAGCCACATTCTTAACTGGTTGTTGACCATTTCGGTGGCACAGACATGCACATAAGTGATTACACTGCTATAAGCAGGGGGGATAATGTATGAATCACTTAACACTTCTTGATTTTCAAGAGCATATACACAAAATTTGGTATTCTGAATTGCAAAATCTGATTTTGAAAACTGGGTCCATCCTTCCTCAGATAAATAACATCCCTTTTGTCCTAATAAAACCATACCTAGGTTTTCAATTTCTCCTGCCCACTCAATAGAAGACAAGTTAATGGACATAGTAACAACTTCGCCAGTTTTGGAAGAGATACTGTAGAATGTTTCGACATGTCTCCATAAAAGGAAGGGGCCATTCAGGACCCTTAACTCTTTCAACTCATGGCCAAGGCTAAAACTCAAACATTTCTCAAACTTATTGGTACTGTGAAGAAATAGTAGAAAATACTTGAAAACATTATTCTTTTCAATACTTTGTATTACAATATAAGGGAGGTTAATTCCAGTTCTGAAATCAGATGCACAGTTGCAACACACAATTTTCAAAGGGGAGTTTTCCTCTTTTAGACTAAAGGATCCTGTGGATTTCTGAACAAATGCTCTTGTTTCTCTGTCAAATACCATTCTTCTGACATGTAATATAGGTATTTCTGCAGGCCCTTCATCTGCAAAATTTCCTTTAGACAATCGAAAAACAAGAACTTCCCCATTATGACACAAGAACCTTTCTTGTTCATCAGCTGGCATCGCTTGTTTACTAGTCATTCCACAAAGTCAAGTCTTTATGCTGGTTCACTTTTATGAAAGCAACTGAGTGCAGTGGATGCTTTAAACCTAAAAACAAAAGGGGAAAACTGTCAAGGTAGAAGAATTGTTGAGAAAACACATTTCCATGAGAGAACTATCAATAGGTACCCACACATTTTATTAATATCTTTAAGCTTTTTATGCTATTTAAAAATGTTATACATCAAAAAATGTATAACATTATAAATATCATTTCTGTACAGCTCTTAAAAATCAGTCTACAAGGAAGTGCCAGGGTTAGGGATTTATGTAGAAAGATGTTGACCTCTCTTTATTCGGTGGCTTCATGTAGCAAGTAACTCCTTCCACAGTTACTGGATGCTTAGCATATGCTAAGCAATATGCACTGGAGGAGAGGTCTGCCTTTCACTAGATGTGTGATTTGGGGCAACTGACTTAACTCCTTTATGCCTCACATCCATATCTATATAATGGGGTATAGTAACAGTATCTACCTCACAAGGTATTGGAATTAACTAATATAACCCACTTGAAATAGAACTGGGTACATAGAAAGTATGCAATAAAGATTAGCTACCATCACTATCACCATCATCGCTAACACTAGTTCATATAGTACCCAACCTTAGAAATATCAGAAGAATAACTGCACACTTAACAGTTTATGAAAGTTGTAAGGTCCCGCTCCACTGTGAATAACTCTTACTCATAATTTCTCTTTTCTAGCTGTGGATCATTTCCATGAAGATATCAACTAGTTCAGAAATAACTAAAACCCAGGTCATTTCAAGTAATACTGTTTTCCTTTGTTGAGTGAGAAGTAAACTCCAAAGGCTTACATTTTATTCTTTTATCATAAAAATTTACTAATAATCCAATTAGAAAAAAAAGGCATCACTGACCCATTATCTTAGTGTTGCTTGCATTTTATAGACATGGCTTTGATTTAGAGGCAATTCTATTAAGAAGCAGACTAGATTGGTCAGCTTCCTCATTCAAATTGGAGATACCATTATTTTTTGCCTAACTTCCAAATGCATCACATGTTGTGGTTTTAAAATGTATTTACAAATTCTCTGAAACTCCTCCATCAAGAAGTGGCACTTTAAATCTCCTCTCCTTGAGTGAGGGCTGGACATTACGACTTGCCTCTAGCCAAGAGACTATGGCAGATGGGACAGTAACTTCCAAGACTGGGTCATATAAGATCCTTGCTTCCTCTTTGACTTCTTCCTTAGATCACCTGTGCTGGGGGAAGCCATCTGCCTGTCATTAAGACACCTCAACAGCTCCAAGGAGCTGTATGCATGTAAGGAACTATGGCTTTCAGTCAACCGCCAGCAAGGGACTGAGGTCTTTTCCCAATAGCCATGTGAATGGCTCCTTCTTGGGAGCAGATCCTTCAGCGCCAGTTAAGTCTTTAGATGACTCAGCCCTTGGAGAGATACTGAGCCAGAACCACCCAGCTAAGATGCTCACAAATTCATAAAAGTCAAAAATTTTGAAAGAATAAATGTTTGTCCTTGTTAAGCTGCTAAGTTTTGGAGGAATCTGTCATGCATCAATAGATAAATACATTCCACTATGGCACTGAATAAAATTGATGAACTGTTTTGAGAAGCTCCTGAAACCTATTACCTAAAGCCACTGGAGATACAGTATCATAACACAAAACTAGAGAAGTCACTGACTTACTGGTTTGTTGTTAGGCAATTAATGCAACTATCTGGGACATCTGGTATCACAAAGTTGATTCAGTTTCATTAACAAGGAGATAGGTAAGTAAAAGGTGTGGCTTGTACTATGAAACTATCTTATTTTAAAGGAAATCGTTGTATTACATCAAAATGCATGAATAGTAATTTATTTCCCACAGATGTGTCAGGTCTCTTAGAATTCTGAAAAAGGCAAAGCACAAGCATGAGATATTCTGAGGTAAATATCTAAAAACTCATTCTCTTTTACTACCTACTCAGACGCTTTTTCAGATTTCTTAGCACTAAAACCCAAAAATAACAAGAAAAGGATTTTATTCTTTTAATGTGAAATGTCACAACTAATGCTTAATCAATACTATGCTCTGGGTGGGGATACCCAAGTGTGCCAGGAACAAGGAGAGTCTGACTACAAGGCCGGGGGCCTCCCACTTTATGCCACACTGGGTGCGCCTGGACTGTCAGGCAGAAAACTCAGCTCATTTCCATCCTATTCTTTTACTGTCACTTAGGCTAAGGGGAAAACTGTTAGCTGGTCTTCCTCACCCAAGTCTTTCCCCCCTTCCAATATATCAACTTATTCATGCTACCTCAGTTATTTTTCTAAACCACAAACTTGATCCTAAACTGCCCCCGATTTAAAAACCTTGCATGTCCCATCCTCCCAACAGATCTATGATCCTGAATCACTCCTTAGAAAGATCGATGCTAAGCGCTGTGCATGGAACCCGTGAAGGATGTAGAGGAAGAAGCCGCAAACCATCTCAAAAAAGCTCACACTGAATTCAGTCCTGTTAGAATCCTAACCCGACATGCTTTTAGCATAAACTCCAGGCAAAGAGTAAACTTCTACTCAAATAGACTTCAAAACATGAATGATTATATAAAAGGTCATTGATCTTTAAAGACCATAGAAATACTATAGAATATCATGTCTTTCAATATGATTTTAATAGATACTTAAATATTATTTTAACATGATAAATATTATTTTAAATGGATCACCTTCATAACTTAAAAATTATCAAAACAGTTTAAAATATTTAAAATTAAGTAATTGATATATTACTTATGAAGATAATTTTTTTCCTCGAACTTTATATAATCTCAAAGCTTACGAAATCCACATATCTGTGTTTATGTTTTATTTTATACTGATACAACATCTGTTCTAAGAGTAAAAGGTCTTAACACAATTCATGAAACAAACCTTTAAGCCTATGGAATTAGTGGCAATTTCTTTTTAAAGACAGAAACACATCAGGAAAAATCTGACTGCAGAATTGAGGCTGCAGGGAAGGAAGAGTAGGGAGGTATGGGTCAAGGGGGGCAGGGGGCCCAATGGACTCTGGTGAAGGATTATGGGTGCTTTGATAATGTGTGAGGTGTGGTAATATACATTTGTGGAGATTATACCCCTAAATTATATATGGTGTTGTAAACCAATGTTACCTCAATAAAGTGATACAATTTAAAAAAAGAAACATTAAAAATATGTGAGGAAAGAAGTCAAAGATTCAACTTAGAGATTCTTGATCCAATATAAACAAATCCTGATTAATTAAAACCTCCTTATCAGGGCAATAGGTTTACTATTCCAATCTATTGGTTATTTGACTTTTTACTTAAATATCATTACAACAGTGGCGACAGAAGAAAACGGGTAAATTCATTAAGTTTTACCACCTGGGGGCCTCCCCGGTGGTGCAGCGGTTGAGCGTGGGGTTGCGAAGCTGCCCGCAGCCTCTGCAGCGCCGGTTCGATTCCCGGCTGCTCCCCGGCCACCAGAGGAGGGTCCCACATGGTGCGCAGACCTCTCCTGCCGCCCGCTGCTCCCCTCAGCAGTGTACTTTGGTCCTTCTGCCTGCTCTGCTCCCCGCTCTGGCGAATTCTCTCACCCTCCCGCGCTTCTGACTGTACCCAGTGCTAGTATGTATAAATAAATAAATAAATCTTTAAAAAATAAAAGTTTTACCACCTGTTTCAGCTGTGTGGAAATGGCGGAGATTTGAAAGCAGGTTATAACATTCTTCATAATTAACTTGAGCTTTTCCTTTTCTATATTACAGCGCACTGGTGTTTTACCTGTTTTATACATAAAAGGAGAACAGATGTGAGTACACTGGAAAACAACAATATATGCGAATGTAAATATGGTAGGTGGGCAGTAAAATTATCACCTTTATTCACCCTTCTCTATCTGGCCCCCACCAAATAAACAGTATTCCTTTTAAATTCTATTACATTCATTTGGGCACTATAAATTTCAGAGCTCTTTATACCACTGGTCTGGTCCACAAAGATCTTAAAAGAACACTACAATATCCGCAGATGAAATCTATACTAGTCTATAAGAAACGGTATCCATTGTAACCAATAGAAAGCATCTCTGTGAAAAGGTAGAGTTAGACACCCCACTGAAAATGTCACCTAATAATGTAACCACATTCCTAATTGTGTCTTATCAGCAAACCAACAGATGTCCTTTTTACAACATATAGGTTATTTTTAACATAAGTAAATTAACTAGGCTGCAGAACAGATGAGAAGTCAGTCGATAGGGTCTATGCGGAATCAACTTCCCCTTTGCCACCACTACCTAGTGTCCCGGAAATGTAGGTGAAGGTAGGGGGAATGGTGATCCACTATAAGAACTAGGAAAAGTTAAAGGTTTTCTGCCATATGAGGGACTTCTAAGTTTCTCTAAGCCACCATAAACCACTGAGAGATTTCAAAAACAAAAATCACTGGATTCTACTTACTTCTCAATTATAAAGATGCTGGTGACAGTGAAGGTGGGGGCATCGTTATCAACTAGGAGATAATTATGAATACTTAATTAAAGGGAGAGGTAACTTTGAAAAGAAATTCGGTAGTAATTGGAAATGCATATATCGAGCAATTTCCTTTGTGGAAATGAACCCAGAGAAATAATTGTACATAATATTCGAAGACATAGCTCTAGACATGGCAGAGAGGGCCAGTCTGAACAAGTCCTTAGTGAACTGTTCTCATAATATAAAAATAGTAAAACCGTCAAAGACCACCAATAAGGTGATGAATAAATACAGATGTAATATCATACTATTGTTAAAAACAGTGAATTAAATCTATGTGTACCACTGCTAGATTTCAAAAACAAAACGAAAAAATTTAGCCGCAGTAAAATGTATACTGCAGTAATGTACCTAAAACAAAACACGTAACACATTGTGTATTATCTGTTTTTGTGTACTGGGTACATTCCTTCAGTGTTTTCTTTGTGTCAGGTAGTGTTGTAAATAAACATTTTAGATTAACTCATTTGTTCCTCGCAACATCCCTCCATCCCAGGTAGTTCTATCTCCTTCTACAGACGGACAAACTGTGGCACGAAGTTTAAGGACTTTCTCAAAGGCTTGCAGACAGGAAGTGACAGAGCCAGGATTCAAACTCACACAGCCTGGTCCAAAGTTTAAAAAGCAAAGCTGCAAAAACGCAAGCCACACGAGGAGAGGGACCTCTAGGTAGGGGTGTGGAGCCAGAAGGAGAGTTTAGCTAGATGTGAAATGTTACTTTAAAGGATGCATTCCAACGCTTTAACAATGTGTTCTTTTTTTCCTCTTGAGAAACTTGAGCATAAAAAGTCTGGAGCGAAAGATGCTAAAATGTCAATCATGGTTGACTATACTTGGTGGACATTCGAGGGCCTCTTCTGTTCTCAGCACTTGTTGTGTTTGCTGTCTTTCTTTTTTTTTTTTTTTTTTTTTAAAGAAAAAGGACAAGACGACTAAGGGTGAAACGACTTCCTTTTAGTGTTTTGACAACCGTAGGATTCGTTCCAATACCTCTACAGAACTCTGCCTTACTCAGCGCTGGCACTTGCTGGCATTTCGCGCCACAGCACCCACAGCACCCGGGGGTTGTCCCAAGCAGGGCAGGCTGTGTACCAGCAGCCTGACCCCTACCTGCCATCTGCCCGTGGCGCCTTCCCCGATCCGGACATTCCAGCTGTCCTTTGGGGGACACGATCCGAATCCCCGCCCCGCAGACCTAGCTCAACAGACGCTTTTCATCTTTTACTGTAATTTCACAGAGCCGGTCTAGCTGCGAGCGTCCGCAGACCACGTCCTGCGCCAGTGTCTCCCACGCTACGGGCTTCGGGGGCGAAGAACAAAGTTGCAAGTGAAATAATGGGCGAATCGAGCAAGCGCTTAACACCTAGTGAGCACCGCGGTGACGGCCACCGGCGCCCGGACGTCCGCTTTCGTCCCGCTCGACGGACCCCGCGGGCTCGGGAGCCGGGCCAGTCCCGCCGCGCCCTCCGCGAAAGCCCGGGCAGTGAAGTCCCGCCGGCCCTACCTCCGCGGGAAGGGCCCGCGTCCCGCCGCTGTCACGCTCCCGAAGCCCCACGCGGGCGCTCCGTCCCGCACCAGCAAACCTCCCGCCTGCGCGCTGCATCCTGGGAGGGCCGGGCCTGAGGCTGCGTGGAGCGCGGGGGCGGTACCCGCCCCGAGACGGCGGCCGAGGAGGCGGGGCCTCGGGAGACTGGAGCTCCGCGGGGGCCGCGTCCGGCAGCCGACGGCCGGCGGGGGCGGGGCCTCCGTGCAGGGGACGTTAGGGGCGGGACCCGAGCGAGAGTCGAATGGGACGCCGAGCTGAGCGGCTGGCCCCGCCCCCAGGCCCAGACGGCCGCCTCGGATTGGGCGGCGTGGCGACGCTTCCGCCCGCCCGGCGGTGTCACGCGACGCCCTCCCCCTCCCGCCGGCTCTTCTTTGCCTCCGGCTGGGCCCGGCCGCTGAGATCTTCGGACAGCAGCCTGGGAAGTGACAGTTGCGGCGGCCTCTCCGTCCGCGACCGTGACCATGGCCGAGGTGAGGAGCCCACCGCGCTGCCCCCACCCGGAAAGCCGCCGGCCGAGAGGGGACGGATCCGGAGGCGGGTGGGCTGGGCAGAGGGGGAAGCGGGCTGTCCCCGGGGTACCTAACTCTCTCAGCGCGTCTCCCTTCCAGAACCCCGCCGAGCAGAAAGCCAAACTCATCGCCGAGATCCGGCGGAGGTTCGAAGCCGAGTATGTGACAGGTGGGTACCGCATTCTCTGCGTCGAGGCAGGTGTGCGGTGGGTGGCCCTAACTTTGCTGGGATGTTGGCGGTGTCTCTGGCGGAGCGGGCCAGGGGCTGTTTCCACCCTCCCTGGGACGGCGCCCTGCACCCTTCCAAGGTTTTCCTCCAGTCACCTGCCAGGCACCACAGCTCCAGTAGGGCGGCTGATGCGTCCAGGACTGCATTTACATGTGACAGGGTGGATGTAAATCGGAAGTCGGGGAGTTTCTAGCCCCTCCGGTTGATGGAACTGGCAGGACACTGGTTAGGTCCAGGGCACAGGTGAACCTGCCTAGTCCACGGGGCCTCTACTGACCTTTTGCCAACAGTCTTGAAAATGAACCCGGAAAGTGCCAATAATGCTGGTGGCCTGTGCTTAGTGGGGGATCCAAATTCCTTAGCTGTTTTGCCTAATTCCACTTCATACAGCTCAGCATGCTGCCCCGAGTGGGCCCTACAATGCTGGACGAAGTCCTTATCTTCTTATCCCACGCTGTACTGAGCCACGTACCTGAGTCCAGAATTGATTTCTGGGTTTGAACATTCCGAGTCCAGATGTCCCAGATACTGCGTTGTCTGTCACTGAACTGTAGTCCCTGTTCAATCAATATTCAAACCATGCGGTTATGAATATGCAGCAAATATTCAAACCTAGACCCTGCCTCTTACAGCTTACTTGTCTTTTCTGTTTCCATCGTCTGTGAAATGGGAATGATTAAGTTAGAAGATTAAATTAAAAAGCGTATCTCAGACCGTCTATCTGGAGGGTAGAAGCTAATGGGCGCTATTTTGCTTCAACAATCATTTTGGTCTCTGAAAGTAGTTGCACTTCCACCTCTTGATTTTAGTGCTAAGCAGATTGCCTGCTTCATTAGACAGCCCTGGGTTAAATGTCAGTTGATAACCAAGAATGACGAAATCCGATTCAAACAACCTGGTCAGTAAGTCTCTTTATCCCTCTCAATTTTCTTCACATCCCAAACTCTGCACCAGAGATTTCCAGAAGCATTTGATTGGTTTTTAGCCTAGAGATCTCATTTCCAGTAGCATAGCTGGTTCCAGTAAAAAAGACACTTAAACTGCTTCCTATAGAAATTCTTACAGCTGTAAGATTAAGTAACCCAGATCTTGATCTAAAGACCTAGAGTCTCCCCCATAGTTACTTACTTTTATGTAGCAGGGAGAAAACAGTTGTAGAAATTTAGGAATAGAGAATATCTTAAAGGCCATCTTTGACCAACCTTTTCATTTTTAACATGAAGAAAGGTCTGGAGAGGCTAAGTGATTAGCTCAAAATCCCATGTTCGGTGCTAGGTTGGGGCTGGTGCTCAGGTCTTCCGAATTTCATGATAGTAATCCTTGAGCAACACCATCCTGTCAAATTAGATCCTGTCACTCCCAGCTTGAAGTCCTTCCAGTACTTTCCCACTGTTTGTAGAATGAAAATCCCAATTCTTTATGGCGGCCTATAGTATAAGACCATGCATGGTCTAGCTCCTGCTCACCCTTCATCTTTGTGGGTTACTTCTCCTTAGCACAGATTTTACCACTGTCCGGAGTGAGAAACACACACACCCCCGAATCAAAAGTTCATTATGGGATACGTATTCTGAAAGCCTGGGAATCCCTATGCAGTGAGCCACAAAATTGACATCACAGCCTATAAACATGACCCACAGTTTGAACAACATGACTAGCCACACTGCCTCTTTTATGTTCTTCAAACAGATTGAGTCTGTTTTCACTTCCTCAGCCTAGAAGGCTCCTGCCAAGGTAGTGGCATGGCTAGCTAGGTCCCCATTACAGCTCTTACCATATTTGTAATTATGTTCCTTTGTTTCCTTATTGTTCATTTCCTTCAGTAGAATGTCTAGGGCCAGGGACACCTTGTAAACATCGGGAGCAGGGTCTGACTCACTTCTGTGTATCTAGCACAGTTCTCGATAAGTACTCACTGCCTGCAGCACTGCATATATACCTAGCGAGATTAATCCAATTCTGTATTAAGAACTATCCTAACTGGCTCCCCTCCCCCATCAAAATCTGGCAAAAGATCCACCTTTATAATATGTCTCGTGGATACTAGCATTTCAGAGTACAGCGCTGTATGGCATTGAGTAGCGGGTGGGTTTTGTCCTTAAATATATCCACTTGGGTGTATGTGAACATGTGTGCAGAAGTTATCAGCACAACAGTTGTAAATTCAGTTAATAACTTGCATGGGAAAGGAAAATAGAAACCTTTGAAGTCTTCAAAGTGTCGGCTTCTTGAAATAAGGCCTCAGGCAAAGGTAGAGTGGGAAGTGGTTTAAAAAAACAAGGTGTTCTGATTCCACTGTGTTCTCCCTTTTCAAGTTCTTTTTAGAAATTGACTTGGGGTTAGAACCTCCACTTTGCTTCCTCTTGTCTTTCACCTTTTCTGTCATTAACAATATCTTGGTGCATTGGGGGCAGGTGTGATACAGTAACATATTTGAAAAGGTATGAACCTATATCTCTAAAACATTTACAATGTTGTCAACCAGTGTCACCACAATGACATATGATACAATTTAAAGAACAAACAGTCTTGTTTCAGAAAATACAAGGCCGACTTAAGCAAATGTGCTATTTTTCCTTCATCACTTTATCACTGGCTGTACTCAAAAACCCTTCTGGGGATACATGCTTAGGAACTTCAAGCACATTTTTGTTTTCATAGAAATTAAGGCACCAAATATGGTTCCAGTTTGGGCTAGCAAAAAAGAATAAAATATAAGCCATAATGCATAACCACTAGTTTTATGCATAACCACTAGTTCCTTCCTTCCCGCCCCCATTGTTTGAGAAAAATTCCATGCTGAGTCTCAAATGAGAAAGACACCCCGTTTTCTCCTCCTCCTCCTTGTGATCAAGGCAAGAGAATAATCCCCTGTGACAATAATTTATTTATTCAGCTCCTCAAATACTCATGTGCTTAATTCTGGGAGGCAGCATATCAATAATAGGAATAGAGCCCATACCTGAGCCACTACAGTCTAGAGAGGCATTAAAACGGAGCTAAAGTTACCATAAATTGTATGGAGGGTAACAAGTGCACTAAAGTCACTTTTGTAGGCGTCTGAGGCAAGGAAAACCACATCTGGTTGGGGGTGACTGGGTTAATGAGCAGCTAGGAAAAACCACAGAAAAGGAACTTTAGGAGATGGTAGAACTTGGACAAGCAGAAAATGCCATGTAGTTGAGCATGAGAGGCATGTTGGGGAAGCCATAGGAAGCCCACTTTAGTGGGCCTGAAAGAGGGTAAACACGCTGGCTGAAAACGGGTGATAATCATGAGCCTCGAACACCAGAACGGTGCAGCTGTACCTTAACAAGTTGAGAGAGCGATCGAGAGATTTGTGGGTTTTATTATTTTAGGTTTGTTTCCTGACTCTATAAGTATTTGATGTCCAAAAATTCCCTCAGAAGCTCACTCTCTAGCCCTGCTAACATTTAAAAGAATAGAATGTAACATTCTATACATTTAAAAAAGCAATATTAAAAGACCATTCTATATGTCATTCTTTGTGTTGCTGCCTTTTAAGTGACATCTTATTTCCCCATATTTATGAAGCAACATTTTGCTTTCCATTTAGTATTAGGGTCTATAAATGAAAGATAATTTTTTTATCTTCTATCATAAATGACCTACTGCACACACAAAAAATGTGTTAACAAAAAACTGGAAGGAATCTAAATATCCACAATCTTTTGTGTAGGTAGTTCAGATTATTTCTTAAGACCCATGTATAGAAAGAAGTAGGATGGTTGGTTTTAAGAGGGAATATTTTTAAGATACCTCATATGTGTGCCAAACTTCCCTCAATAGAAATTGTACCTAGGTGCATTCCTACCAGCACTTAGGAATGTCAGTTTCACCACACCTTTACCCACCTTTAGTGTCATTTCTTAACTGATGGTTCTTTGGTTTTTTTTGCATTTGAATACAAATTCATATTGTTTTCATTAGTATGGCTGTTAAAATATTGGTTTAGGCTTCCCTATTTATGTTACTTTTACTTTTTTCATCTTATGAATATACTCAGAATTACCCATTCCTCTGTGGCTTCTTCCCCTGCTATTAACTGAAATAATTTTCTCTCTTACAATGACGTTTTTAATCTTGTGATTTTTGTTTTATTTTGTTTTTTTTTTCAATTTTGAAATATCTTTTATGTATGAAACAGAAATAAATTGACCATGTACTCACCTCCCAGGCAAAGAAATAGAACTTCTGTGTATCCCCATCCCTGCCGTTCGGGGGCAGCTGCTGGTCCTGCATTTGGCATCACCCATTCTCTGGCCTTTTCATTGGCTTTGCTACTGACGACATGTTCCTCGTCAGCACTTAATATTAATTTTTACTACTTTTTGAACTCAAAATAAGAGCTGATAATTTTCCATGACTTCCGTTGCTCAGGAGTCTTTCATATTGTCAAATATAATTGGAATTGATTCCTTTTCATAGCCGTGTAGTGGTTCATGGAATGAATAAATCATTTGGTGGATTAAGGGCTGCTTCTTCATTTTGTAAGATTTCCTCTAGGGCGGTCATTCTCAAAGTTGGTCTAGGAACTCTAGTTCCTGGAGGCCATTTCAAGGAGAAGTCAAAACTATTTTCCTAATAATACTAAAACATTTTCCTTTTCCACTGTCATTATCATGCAAGCATACGGTAATATTTTCTAGGGGTTATGTGGCATGTAATGATGCCGCTGCTCCAAGGGCTGATAGCTTGTGTGCTTGTGCATTAAATTTGTTCTCAATTTTAATACCTAATATTAAACTACTGATAAATATAACTTATATCAACCAAAAAAGCTCCTTAGGGTCCTCAGTTATCTCTAAGCATGTGAAAGGAATCGGGAGACTAGAGAGTTTGAGAAGCACAGCTGCAGGGTTTGTACCCAGCAGTGAAATGGGTGGTGGTAAGAGACACATGTTCAGCTTTACTAAGGC